TTTTCAAAAGAAAAGAAGGGGGTGAAAAAAAGAAAAGAAAAGGCAAATTTAAATAAAAAATGACAAGCAAATAAAAAAATTAAAATGATTTTTAAAAATGTTTGAGGAAAAACTTAAAACTATTTAAAACCAGAAGCCTCTGATGAGGCTCTACTGGTCTGTACGTATAACAAAGCAAAAGTAGCACTTGGATTTGAAAATTTGCAATAGCCAGAAATAAATAAAATTATGTATCTTAATGTGGTCTACTTTTGTGCCAAGTTATACTGAAATCAAATGAAAACTGTAGGAGGAGTTGAGTTTTTTATTTCACAGAAATTTCTATTTTTAGTAACCATGGCAACACAATTCACTGAAATCAAAAACTGATGCACTAAATTATGTATCGTAGTGTAATCTACTTGAATGCCAACTTATATTGAAATCAGACGAAAACTGTAGCAGGAGTAGCTTTTTAAAGTAATTTCAAAGAAATTTCTGTTTTTAGTAAAATTGGCAATACCGTTTATCAAAATCAATAAAGTGCCTTGCCACAGTATGATACGCCCGTCAAATATTGTTCAATTGTCATAAACAGTTTAGAGTGCAAGAAAATCATGTCAACCTTGATAAAGGGTTTCAAGGATTTTTCAATTCCTTATAATATTTGTTTATACATCTCCTGTGGTGTAGGCATTAATTATAACAAAGATTACATTATAGATCCTCAACTGGTTGTGTTAGAGCTTGAAAAATGCCCATCTGCAGCCCCCCCCCCCCCCCCCCCCCAGCTTTCAGATCTGTTAGACATGATGCTCTGAATTAGTTGATATTTTCAAAAAAATTAAATAAAAAAATCATATTAAACAATATCAATTTAGTCTTAACTTAATCTATATCAAATTAATTAAAAATAAAAGGCTGGCCATCAAATGACATATGCTATAAACTGACCAGCAGTTCTTCTGTCTAATTCCCAAAAGATACAGATAAGAGCTGCTTGATCAGAGATCCTCTAACAGAAATGATTGAGACAGCTAGCCTCCCTACACTGAACTCATTAATTAATCTTTAACTGGATGCATGTCCACTCATTACTCCCAAGGGATGGATCTATCCATACTATCTGCTTTGTAGTGCAATAAAAATGCATATTTATGTCATTCTGAAATTAAATTTGAAAACAAAGATTTTTTTTGAATTTGTTACAAAGATTTATAAAAAAAAGAGAAACAAAAAACTTGTTCTAGATATTTGTAATCTTAATGCAACATTTTTAATAAGGTTCCTGCATTACTCTTATTATACAATATCAAATAAGTTTTAATTACTTTTCACCAAATTCATTTTAAAAGTTAGTCCAGCCAACTATTTAATCCAACACGGCTGATTCTTTTTGCCCAGTTCCCAAGAGATATAGATAACACCTGCTTGATCAGAGATGCTCTACCAGTTAGCTCCTCACACTAAACTCATTAATTTCTCTCTAATTTGACATGCATTTTTCTGTTATCAAATTCTCCTTGACCAGTGCTTGATACTTAAACCCATGGGAGAGGTGGAATTTCTCTTGAATCATTACATTTGTTATAGATTAATTGCTGTAAAGTATGTAATGAAAAAAATAAGTATTTTCTTGATTTAACATTTTTTAAAATAAGGATAATGCAACACTCTTGCATTTTTTGGGACTGTGTAATCTAATAGTAAAAAGACAGTTTTTTTTTTTTTTTTAAATTTCACTTAAATCAAAGGTCACAGTGACCTTGAAATAGGTCGCGATACACCTTCTACCTAAGATGCATAAATTGGCCAAGTTGATGATTCTAAGTCCAATAGTTTTCTAGTTATGAGCCGGACAGGATTTTTCCATATTTGGCAATAGCATCTTAATTAAAGGTCAGAGCGACCTACTTTAAATGTGCGACACACCTTCTACCCAAGAAGTATCAGCTGACAAAGTTTGATAATCCTAGGTCTAATAGTATTAAAGTTATGAGTCAGACACGAAAAAAGCTAACAGACTGATGGACGGACGATAACATAATACATCCCGTCTAAAGACAGCCGTATAAAAACTGATGCACTAAATTATGTATCGCAGTGTAGTCTAATTGTATGTCAAATTATATTGAAATCACACCAAAACTGTAGGAGGAGTAGAGTTTTAAAGCAATTTCACAGAAATTTCTAGTTTTATTAACCAATGCAACAACTTTTATTGGATTAAAAAAACCAATTCACTAAGTTACGTATGTTAGTGTAGTCTACTTGTGTGCCAAGTTATACTGAAATCAGACCAAAACAGTAGGAGGAGTAGCGTTTTAAAGGAATTTCACAGATATTTCGATTTTTCATAACCATGGCAACAACGTTCATCAAAATCGAAAAATTGATGCACTAAATTATGCATCTAAGTGTGTGCCCAGTTATATTCAAATAGACAAAAACTGTAGAAGGATAGCATTTTTAAGGAATTTCACAGAAATTTCTATTTTTAGTTACCATGGCAACACCATTCATCAAAATAAAAAACTGATGCACTAAATTATGTATCTTAGTGTAGTCTACTTGTGTGCCAAGTTATATTGAAATTAGACCAAAACTGTAGGAGGGGTTGCGTTTTGAAAAATTGTTTACAGACAGACGGACAGACAGACAGACAGACGGATGGACGACGGACACCTTACTATCGCATAAGCTCTTCTGGTCTCTGACCAGTAGAGTTAAAAAGCGAAGAACATATTTTGTGGGGAGAAAGGGGGGGGCGTCTCTGTTGTTATCCCTCATTTTCCATTACCAGTTATTCAGGAAGGGGGGAGGGCACTACGGACTTGCATACTGGATAGAAACGGTCAAGATATGGCTTCTGATTAATATGTAATAGTGTGGGGGAAAATGTAAATTTTTAAACAGTATTCCTGATTGACGTGTACGGTAATGTATAATATGGAAATAAAGTACAAGGAACCATTTTCTTCGGAATTTTATTGGTCATTTTCATTTCTTAGTCAAGCTTGAATGAACTTCAACATACAAGAAAAAAAGTTGAATTTAATAAATAGTGGGCATAACTGAAAAAAATCATTGTTTTTTTAACATCCAAACAAGAAATGATAGGACTATATTTTGGAATAATGTTTTATGTTATTTGCGTAAAAAGTTCTTGGATCCAGAAAACTTGTTCTAAACCAAATACTATGAGATTTTGTGAAGTCATGTTCTCAAAAAAATTAGTCTGGTCTGTTTTCTCTTTAGATATATCTAATTTAACCCCCCCCCCCCCCCACACCAAACCCGCTTGATCAATTGTAAATGTCCTTGTATATATATAATTGTATCTCTTTTACCATGTTTTAAGTGAATGAAAGAAAAAGTGAGCAAGCTCACATACCCCACGCTCCCCCAAAACTTGACAATGCAACATGTACTGAATAGCACAGTGCATTTTAAATACACAGTATGATTCAAAAAGGGGCATTAACTTGCAAAAAATCATCACATCAAAACTTCTTGCATATAAGGACATTCAAATCTTTGCATGTTACAAATTTAATTGGGCTGAAGTTTCTAGATAAATAATGGAATAAAAATTTCTTGGTAATATACAAATCTATACATTATGTCTGAAATACCTACAAAATTTCAGGAAATTCAGTGCAGGAGTTATGCTGACAAACTGTTATTTAAATTCCTCAGTGATTTCGATTTGTTAATGAGTGTAAGTCCATGTCCAACACATGACAACTTACACATTTAAATAATTGATGGAAACAAAATTATGATGTAGTCATATGAATTTGTTTATATACTGTACTTATGAATTTATAAGCACCAATTTGAAGGGAGGGGGGGGGGGGGGGGGGGAGAGAGAGAGAGAGAGAGAACTATCCAAGATTCAAAATTTTGTGTGTGTGTTAAATCATTAATATTTTGACCTCAAAATCAATAGGGGTCTTTTAAGGTCATAAAATATTTCACAAAAAATGTCATTACAAAGGCTGATTCAAGTGTGGATTTCCTTATTACCTAGCTGGAAAGTTTCTTCAATAATAGGCAAAACTCTTAGGGCAAAAATAATGGAATCAGAATTTCCTGGTAATACGCACATCTACACATTGTGTCCTAAATATCTGCTAAGTTTGACGAAATTCTGTGCAGCGGCATAAAAGGAGTTGTGCTGACAAACTGTTCATCTCTATATTCAAGATATGGCCAAAAATCTAAGTTGAAAAGTGCCAAAATTCCCAGAAAAAAATAAAGGAATCGAAATTTCCTGGTAGTATGCACATCTACACATTGTGCCCTAAATATCTGCAAAGTTTGACGAAATTCTGTGCAGCGGTTTAGGAGGAGTTGTGCTGACAAAAAAAACAGGACTGACGGACTGACTGACGGACGGACGGGTCAAAAACATTATACCCCCCGCAACTAGTTGCGTGGGGTATAATAAACTTAATTGGCCGTTATGATTAATCCTATCTTAGTTAATTAGTTGTTACTGTACTGTTGCGATAACCCACAATTACTATAAACAATTAAGTATTGCAGTAATATTTTCAGAAAATATGGGATTTACTGTTTAAAATATAATTAAATATATACGCTGTATATATGTGGCACAAAGCATTGATTTTAAAAAGTGAAGGGGTAGCATAGTGGGTTAAAGACTCACTCTGCAATCTGGATATCCAAGTTTGATTTTCATTCTCTGTGCTGTAGCCCACGTGGAGCAGTGGTTAGAGCATTCACTCTAGAGTCGAGGCATAGGGAGTTGATCCTTACGTCACGGGTTCTAATCCCACTGTGGGATGTGGAGACTGGTCCTTCGGATGAGACCGTATAAACCGAGGTCCCGTGTCGCAGTAGGTGCTTGCAGGAAGAAGATCCCTCACTGCTCAATGGCCCTGAGTGCCGAATATAGGTCAAAATTTGTAGCTCTCCACCGGCAAATGGTGGCATCTCCATATGTGTGAAAAATTCTCAAGAGGGACATTAAACAATAAACAAACAAACAAACATTCTATGTGCTATATCAAATCTGAATTTTTTTAATCTTTGTGTTTGACTTGTTAAAAAAAAAATTGGATACTCTTTTACCAATGATAAAGTAGTTGGGCCCAATCAATATCATGTATCTACCAACTCTTAAGTTGGTGAATATGGTTTGATATTCAGAGAAAAACTTCTATATGAATATTTTTCTGATGAACAGCAATCCATATTCTCCACCACAATGAACACCTTTCTATGGCATAAGCTCTTCTGGTCTCTGACCAGTAGAGCGAAGAACACTGTACAAAACCATTTGACAATAATAAATGCACAGTTTTGTGATTTACAAGTAAAAATCTATTAGCAGTTTCAATGCATATACTCCTTCTCATCCTCCTGATCTTCCTTTATGAACTTCTCCTTCAGGTGTTCAGGAATTTCCACCTTGTGCAAGTTCTCCATTCCTTCCTCTGGTTCATCACCAATCAAGATATCAATCAAATTCATAATGGGTATTATATTACTTCGCTGCCTCTCCCACTTGTGTAATTCACGGATGATGATGTACGTGTTTTTCTCTTTCACAAACAATCTTCCCTGTCTTGTTGCACATAACTATAAACAAAACACATACTACTTCCGGTTATGAGAAAAAAACTACGTAATAGGAATTTTTAACTTTCTCATAAATATTGCTTATTGATAAAGTTCTTTAAAAGATTTTTATATATGTTATTGAGACTGCAGATGTCTAGAGTGACGTCAAACTTCTTCGTAAAATTCATTTCCGGTCGTGTGTATTCCTGTCCTCAAAATGAGATTTTGTTCACCAAATTGCTCAGCACCAGTAATCGACTGAAGTCTAAAACTTTCAGGACTGATAGTCAGTCATCAGTTTATCAACATCATGTGAAAATCGTACATTGCTGTCACTTCCGGTGGTGACAGGAAGCGATGCAAAAAAGTGAATTTTGCAATTTTTTTTATAGAAATGTTGAGCTAATGCACATGTTAGACTATAACCATGCAAATTATTTTTAAAAACCAGAAGTTGTCTCAAACATGTGTAGTTTTACATGGAAACTTTTAGGGATGATCAGTTGTGAAAATTGAAGTGTAGAATGAACATTTTATTTGTTTGGAGCACTTCCAGTCATGACAAAGTAAATAAAGACAAGAGGCCCAAGGGCCTTAACAGTCACCTGAGTACAAAACAACAACTTAGAGGATCCATAAACTGATAAATGAAGCTTTGTTGCCCAAAAGCATGAAAATTACTATGATTAGTATGAACAAAATAATTGGTATAGTATCTATACGTCCCCCATTTATCACTATTACCATGCAGACTATTAACAAAATTTTTTTTTTAACCCCATAATATTACTTCTCACCCTGCTCTCTTGGCCTTAGAAGAATATTTAAAAAGATAAGTTATTTTTGTCTCATTTTTATTCATTTATTATTTCCAAGTCTACCTGATCATTAAAACTATGAAAGTACTTTTTGTATTATACAATAAATATTCTTGCATAATTCTCTTATTCTATTAACCTTTCAAATACATTATTTACAGCGATTAATTATCAAAGGTGTATGGTAAAGGGGAATAACTTTGTTCAGCATACTACAAGTTAATTGAGCCCTGGCCAGGACCAGAACACTTGACTAAATGGTCCAGGTGTTCAAAATTCTGGTAAAAATACCCTTGCATATTAAAACTTTTACTCTATTTGCCTCGAATATGCCCTGAAGCAAAGAAGATTTTCAAAGAAATGCAATTTCACTATATTGTTAAATAAATAAAGCACCATCCTTACACCAGAACATCTGACCTATTGGCCATGAACTAACAATTCTGGAAGAAAAACCCTTGCTCATCATAACTATACACTTGTTTCTTTGCTTTATAACCAGTAGTAGAAAAAAAATATTCTGAAAGAAATTATGCATTTTCACTATATAATCAATAGAGCCCCCCCCCTTTACAGAACCCCTAACCCAGGGGCCATTAATTTCACTTACTTGGAAGAGGCATTCTTCCTTATCATAATCATGCACTTCCTTTGTTTGAAAAAAAACCCAGGAGCAGAGAAGAAGATTTCGAAAGAATTTATGCATTTTCCCTATATAATCAATAGGAAACCACCCTAACACCAGAACCCCTGACCCAGGGGCCATGGAATTCATAATTTTTGAGGAGGCAGCCATGCTCATCATAACTTTTTACTAAGTGTACTTAATGTCCAGGAGCAGATAAAAAATATTTTTAAAAAAATTAATGCATTTTCACTATATATATCAACAGAGCCCTGCCCCAACACAAGAACCCCTGACCAAAGGGCCATGAAATTCACAGTTTTGGAATAGGCAACCATGCTCGTCAAAACTATGCACTTACTTAGTTTATTTAATACCCAGTAGTGGAGAATATTTTCAAGAATTAATGCAATTTTACTATATAATCAATAGAGCCCCGCCCTAACACCAGAACAGTAGAACCCCTGACCCAGGGGTCATGAAATTCACAATTTATGAACAGGCAACCACGCTCATCATAACTATGCACTAAGTAAGTTTATTTCATCCCAGGAGCAGAGAAGAAGATTTTCAAACAATTAATGCAATTTTCCTAAATAATCAATATTCAATGAATTAATGTATTTTCACTATATAATCAATAGAGCCCTGCCCCAACACCAGAACCCCTGACCCAGGGGCCATGGAATTCACAGTTTTGGGAGAGGCAACCACGCTCATCATAACTATGCACTTAGTTAGTTAATATAATACCCAGGAGCAGAGAAGAAGATTTTCAAAGAAATAATGCAATTTTACTATATAATCAATAGAGCCCCGTCCTAACACCAGAACCCCTGACCCAAGGGCCATGAAATTCACAATTTCTGAAAAGGCACTTATGCTCACCATAACTATTTCTTAGTTAAATTAATACCCAGTAGTGGAGAATATTTTCAAGAATTAATGCAATTTTACTATATAATCAATATAGCCCCGCCCTAACACCAGAACAGTAGAACCCCTGACCCAGGGGTCATGAAATTCACAATTTATGAACAGGCAACCACGCTCATCATAACTATGCACTAAGTAAGTTTATTTCATCCCAGGAGCAGAGAAGAAGATTTTCAAACAATTAATGCAATTTTCCTAAATAATCAATATTCAATGAATTAATGTATTTTCACTATATAATCAATAGAGCCCTGCCCCAACACCAGAACCCCTGACCCAGGGGCCATGGAATTCACAGTTTTGGGAGAGGCAACCACGCTCATCATAACTATGCACTTAGTTAGTTAATATAATACCCAGGAGCAGAGAAGAAGATTTTCAAAGAAATAATGCAATTTTACTATATAATCAATAGAGCCCCGTCCTAACACCAGAACCCCTGACCCAAGGGCCATGAAATTCACAATTTCTGAAAAGGCACTTATGCTCACCATAACTATTTCTTAGTTAAATTAATACCCAGTAGTGGAGAATATTTTCAAGAATTAATGCAATTTTACTATATAATCAATATAGCCCCGCCCTAACACCAGAACAGTAGAACCCCTGACCCAGGGGTCATGAAATTCACAATTTATGAACAGGCAACCACGCTCATCATAACTATGCACTAAGTAAGTTTATTTCATCCCAGGAGCAGAGAAGAAGATTTTCAAACAATTAATGCAATTTTCCTAAATAATCAATATTCAATGAATTAATGTATTTTCACTATATAATCAATAGAGCCCTGCCCCAACACCAGAAACCCTGACCCAGGGGCCATGGAATTCACAGTTTTGGAAGAGGCAACCACGCTCATCATAACTATGCACTTAGTTAGTTAATTTAATACCCAGGAGCAGAGAAGAAGATTTTCAAAGAAATAATGCAATTTTACTATATAATCAATAGAGCCCCGCCCTAACACCAGAACCCCTGACCCAAGGGCCATGAAATTCACAGTTTTGGAATAGGCAACCATGCTCGTCAAAACTATGCACTTACTTAGTTTATTTAATACCCAGTAGTGGAGAATATTTTCAAGAATTAATGCAATTTTACTATATAATCAATAGAGCCCCGCCCTAACACCAGAACAGTAGAACCCCTGACCCAGGGGTCATGAAATTCACAATTTATGAACAGGCAACCACGCTCATCATAACTATGCACTAAGTAAGTTTATTTAATACCCAGGAGCAGAGAAGAAGATTTTCAAACAATTAATGCAATTTTCCTAAATAATCAATATTCAATGAATTAATGTATTTTCACTATATAATCAATAGAGCCCTGCCCCAACACCAGAACCCCTGACCCAGGGGCCATGGAATTCACAGTTTTGGAAGAGGCAACCACGCTCATCATAACTATGCACTTAGTTAGTTAATTTAATACCCAGGAGCAGAGAAGAAGATTTTCAAAGAATCAATGCATTTTCACTATGTTTCTGTCCTCGAAAGGAGAAGTTGTCTGAGAAATATCTCGAAAACGGTTAGAGATTAAGACACCAAACTTATATGAACAACAAACCTTAAGATGTAGGCAAAACCATTTGGGTTAAGAGCATCAGCCGTCACTTCCTGTTGTCACAGGAAATGATCAAAGAAATCAAAAATTTCAACTTTCCTTTTTTTAATTAAAAATTGCATCCCCTAATTGCATCTTTTTTGCAAATTTCCATTATAAGAGAAAAACTACATAATTTGAATATTTTACTTTCCCATAAATATTCTTTATAGATAAAGTATTTGAAATGAATTTTAAATATGTTATTCAGAGTGAAAATGTCTAAAGTACCCTTAAATATCTTTCAAAAATTCACTTCCAGTCGCGTGTTTTCCTGTCCTCAAAATGAGAAGTTGTCTGATCAGATCTTAAAAACAGGTAAAAGATTAAAAAACCAAACTTTTATGAGTAATAGACCTTGAGGAGTAGGCGAAACCATTTGGGTTAAAAGCGTCAGTCGTCACTTCCGCTTGTCACAGGAAGTGATGAAAGAAATCAAAAACTTTAACTTTTCTTTTTTAAATTAAAACTTGCATCACTTTAGTGCATCTCTTTCGCTGTTTAGAAATATGTTTGATTCAACTGGAAACATAAAACGTCAACTTCCGGTTTTAGGTATAAACTACGTTATTTTGATATTTGACTTTCTCATAAATATTGCTTATCGATAAAGTTCCTGAAATGAATTGACGTATGTTGTAGAAACTGCAAATGTCTAGATAAATTTCAGAGATTTTTTACAATTCACTTCTGGTCGCGTGTTTACCTGTCCTAAAAATTAGAATTATTTCTCACAATATAGCTTGGCAACAGGAAACTACTGAAGACTAAAACTTTCAAGTCAGTTTTTTTAATCGTGAGAAAATCTTGTATCGTCGTTACTTCCAGTCGTGACAGGAAGTGATGTAAAAAAGTGAATGGTTAATGGTTAGCACGTTGGATTTTCACGCTGACGACCAGGGTTAAATCTCCATAGTGTGTGAATTTCTTTTTTCACTTTTTCAGCTTGAATTTTCGTTTTTATTTTCAGAATCGGACGGAAGACCTCTCATTGCTCGCAATGAGTTTCTAGTTATTATTATTTTTTT